TTTCCATCATCATATCCATAGTGTCTAATCCCCTGACATAGGAAGCAATCTGCTTCTGAGAAATGTTATGAGACATCATATTTACAATGCCTTTCAAGAGCTAAAATCTGAGCAAAGTCCTGTGTTCAGTCTACAGATAACATCTTATATGTTCAAAAATGATGTAATTTGTTGTAACTATGTGTATACTGATTAGACACATACCAGCACACTAAGGCACCACTTGTTAGCTGCTGTACGAATGAAGGTAGCATTTACCCAATCTCGCGCACAATTGTCAAATAATTCTACAATCATGATTAATTCTTGAATCATTTCACTGTTGCTAAGCACAGAGGTCATGAACTTGAATTTTATTTTTCTCAAGTCATTGTGGTGGAAGGTAAGCAGATTAAACACTAAACATGATTGAGTGCAGCTTATTGAAGGGACATCAGGACATTTTAGGAGTTGAGTGTGTCTTAGACTACACATGAGTGGCTGGTTGGTTAGATGTCATTTTTGTGTGAGTCAGATTCTTTCATGGGTATATAGCCTACCTTTCTGTCTGAGTTCATAAACCCAAAATGGCCACTGGATTGTGCATCAAAGGGCTGTTATTGGCTGTGAGATACTTCACCAAAAACCAGTTCAGCATTCCCAAGACATAAGTCAGGAGTGTGATGCGACACTCTCCCCTTGTCTGGATGAGTGTAACTCCAACAACACTCAAGAAGCTCAGCATTAGCCACTTGTTTGGTGCCCAACCACCACCTTCAACATGCATTCCTTTGCCAGATGTGAAGAATTCTCAGTTGCAATAGTGTGTAGCTTGTGCAAGGTACACTACAATAACCTACCAAGGCACATTCAACAGCACTTTCCAAACCCACCACCTCTGCAGTAAGACAAAGCTGGCAGATACATGGGAACACCGTTAACTGCAAGTTCCCCTCAAAGCCACACACCATCCTGACTTGAAAATATATCATTGTTCTTTTACAGTCACTGGGTCAAAATCCTGGAGCTCCCTTCCACACGGGACTTTGGGTGCACCTAAACCACAAAGACCACAATGGTTCAAGAAGGCAGCTCAACATGACCCCCAAAAGGGCAATTAGAGATTGGCAATAAACACCAGCCCAGTAAGTACCAACCACATCCCATGAATAAGTTAAAATAAACCTCCAGGAAAAGAGTAGAGAAAAAGGAGAGAGGAACATAAATTTAGTTCAAATTAGCCGAAATGTGAATCATCTTGTTGAGGTTTTGTGTGTTGGTGTGACTACAAAACTAAACGTGTTATATTTTGTGGCCAAGTGGCCACAGCCTAAGCTACTAGGCCCAACATAAAATTGGCTAAACAATAGGAGGCGATGGCATTATCACTAGACTGTTAAACTGGAAACCCAGAAAATGTTCTGGGGAGCCTGGTTCAAATCTCACCATGACAGATGGTGGAATTTTAATTCAATTTTAAAAAATCTGGAAAAAAGAATCTAGTGATGACCATGAATCCATTGTCGATTGTTGGAAAAACCCATCCGGTTCACTAATGTCCTTGAGGAAAGGAAACTGTCATCCTGACCTGGTCTGGCCTACATGTGACTCTAGACTCTTAACAGCCCTCTGGGCGAATTAGGGATGGGCAAGAAATGTTGGCCTAACCAGCGATGCCCTTGTCCCATGAATGAATAAAGAAAAAAAGTTTCTACAAGCAAGGCCTGATGGAATGCAAAAGGTTAAGGTTCTGATACCCCTGTCAGTGACCCCATTGGCTGAAGGCAGAGAACATTCCAGAAGAGCTTAGGAAGGGGAGTGTAAGAAGGAAGACCTGGTGGCCATTCCCTCAGTGAAGACCTGGCTGGCTAAGATGTCATGCGAGACCCACCTTTGCACCAAGACAACCCTGAATGCACAAATCAATGGAGCTCAGTAAATTGAATCCAGCAATCCAATCAAGTTCACCAGAGTGGGTGGTTTATGTGTTTTCAGGTAGTCAGACTAGTCTGAGGAAAAGTGAACTTCATTTGTTGTGTAAGAGTTATTTCTTTAATTTTGTGAGTGTTTTAATAAAACTAAGTTCGAACTGTAGTCCTTTGTCTCATGCAGTAAGAGCACATGAGTAAATATGTTTTATGAGTAATAAACTGGTCAAAAAGTGTCTGTATAGAATATTTCACAGGCAACATTGTGGCGTCCTTGGGTGGGCTTCGATAAGATATGACCTTAAATTACTCCAAAGTTGATCCCACCAGCATTGTATTCTCAAAAACCCAGCCTGAGCCTAATTTCAGAGGGCAGCTGCCCCACATGACAGCCCAGATTTAAGTAGGGGAATAAGGATACAGGCAACCGGTAATCGGGCCATAAACCAGGAGGTTTGAAAAGTGAGACAAACACTGGGCAGAATTTGAAGCTCGGTTGGTTAGCAGTGTGGGTAAACTTTACAGTCAGCCACAAGACACAGTAAGGCTTATCTCCTGGAGTTTCACAGAGGTGCAACACACTTTTAAGATATGGCTGAGACTTAGAGGGACAGGAATGGGAATTTAGTCAAAGCCAGACCCCAGCTCCAATTGACTCCCAAATCCCTGTGATGAACTCTAGAGAGAGTGGGAATAAAGATGCGAGGAAACCGAATGAAGGTTCAGAGCACCCACAAGATGGTGAGAAGACCACTAATTGGGGCTGGGCACCCATGAGGATACAGAGAAGCAAGAGTAGGGTCAGAGACACAGAGTCACAGAGAAGCAAGAAACCAGATAATATTGGATCGGGGTTGCATGAGAGAGACAGAGAGGGAGAGAGAGGAAGAGCAGTAAATTGAAAGGAAACAACAGGAAAAGTAGCGCAGTACACACAGTGAGTAGATATAATAAAAAAGTACCTAAATAAGAAGTGGACCAGGGGTTTGGCCATTGCAGTGAGCAAATTTTGGATCTGGGACCCACGGGACAGAAATGCTGGGAGGCAGTGCAGAAAGCTGAGGGGAAGCACTCTTTAAGCCTTAGCAAGGCAATAGTGATAGTCAGCTGCATGGAGCAGCTCCGAAAGAAAGATTATAAAAACACTAAGCTAACGCAGGAGTTAAATGAGACAAAGCAGGCGGTGGAGAATTTATTTCTTAATTTATAGAATCCCTACAGTGTGGGAACAGGCCCTTTGGCCCAACAAGTCCACACTGACCCTCGGAGCAACACACTCAGACCCATCCCCCTATAGCCCAGCTATTCTACACATCCCTGAACACTACAGGGTAATTTAGCATGGCCAATCTACCCTAACCTGCACATCTTTGGACTGTGGTGGGAAACTGGAGCACCCAGAGGAAATCCACGCAGACAAGGGGAGAATGTGCAAACTTCACACAGACAGTTGCCTGAGGGTGGAATCAAGCCTGCGTCCTTGGTGCTGTGAGGCAGCAGTGCTAACCCTGAGTCGCCACGCCACCCAAAAAATCAAGAATAAGGCGATAGAGGAGGAAAAGATCAACCAGGTGAATTTATTACACATAGGCCAGTTCCAGAGCCAGTGGGAAAAGGCTTATCAGAAAGGGGGAGGTGACGGCCTGATGGTATTGTTGCTAGACTGTTAGTCCAGGTAATGTTCTGGGGACCTGAGTTCAAGTCCCATCATGGCAAATGGTGAAATTTGAATTAAATTTTTAAATATCTGGAATTAAGAGTCTAATGATGACCACGGGTTCATTGCCCATTGTCTGAAAAACCCATCTGGTTCACTAACGTTGTTTAGGGAAGGAAACTGCAGTCCTTACCTGGTCTGGGAGAGAGTAAGGACTAGAGGAGCTGAAAGCTAGACACAATAAATGTGGAGCTAGAAAAGCACAGCAGGTCAGACAGCATCCGAGGAGCAGGCATTTCGAACCGAAACCCATCGTAAGTCCTGGTCAGTCAGGACTGACAAAGTGTTTTGGCCCGAAATGTTGACTTCCCTGCTCCTCGGATACTGTCTGACCTGCTGTGCCTTACCTGGTCTGGCCTACATGTGACTGCAGACACCCAGCAATGTGGTTGACTCTTAACTCCCCTCTGGACACTTAGAGATAGGCAATAAATGCTGGGCTGGCCAGCAATGCCCATATCCTATGAATGAATAAACACAAGCACGACATGCACTCAGCGGCCATGATAAAACAAAAAGAAAAGACTTGTGGTCAAGGTGTCAGAAAAATGTGCACATTTAAAGGTCACACTCAAAGCAGGACTTACCCTGCTCCGACAAACTTTCTAACAACAAGCTGGCAGGACAGGTAAAATAATGAAAATCCAATCACAAACACAACAACCCCCGTTCACAGGAGTACAATCGGCTGAGATAGCAAGAAAAAACCTCACATTCGAGCCCTCTGCTGATCCTGATTTGTTCTGGGAGAATGCGCGCCAGTAAAGAATTTTACATGGGCCCGATGACAAGGAGAAAATAAAATGCATGTGCCTGAGCCCCATGATCCATTGTGCCTGACCCAATTCCAGAATATAAGGGCGAGAGCAGCTGCAGGACAGGAAAGCAGTTATTTTAGTAGCAGTCGGCTACAATAGAGGAAATCCGCTGGAAGGTTTAAATAAATGCAGGCAAAAGAAAAGGGGACACCCGATAGTGTTCACTAGCTAACTGTGGACTCACTTCACTGGAGTCTTAGGAAATAATAAACAAAGCAAGGTTAAAGGGACAAAATCTCTCAAATTAGACTAGGATTTTAGTAACACTATGCCACCAAAGAGGGTAGAAAGGCATGCAAAGATTTTGACCCTGCAGATAATACTCACACAGAGGTGTGAGTGTTCAGGTGAATGGCTGAGATTGGGAGGAAAGGAGTTTAGGAGGTGGATAAGGCTAAGACAACCTTAGGCGATCCCAGTAAAAGGCCAGAGGGTGGGTGGGATAGAGGCAGAGGGAGATTCACCTACTCCCATACCATCGCCACCCAGCCCCCACCCCCAACAGTGTCAGGGAGACACAGTCAACAGCCCTAACATGAGCAGTGCAGTGCTACAATTATGGCCGAGAATGCAGAGCGACGAATCAGGAACACAGCAGGGATATCAGAACATGCCACTATAGGAACTGGCACAAACCAGCTCCCGGTAAACCCTGATGGAAGAAACCACAAGCCCCTCTTCCCTGTTGCCTTGGCTGAACATAGGCCTGAGGGCATGACAGGGTCTGACCACATTAATTTGGATGGGTAACGCAAGGGGTGACAGTGGGGAATCATCCCTGGTGAACAGTGAGGTAGAGGGCCACCCCTCGAATACTTGTGTACAAGGGGTCTCCCACAGAATGCTAAATACTTCCCCAAAAATCAGGGCATCATGGCACCCAAAGAGAGCAACCATTTTTTTAGTGGCTCACTGGACATTTAGAAGAGGCAGCAGAGACAGACCCATTAGAATTTAAATGCCCCATGAGAGGTTTGAGCCCTAAGGTTGTAGACATGCTCGCTAAGCCGGTGGGTTTGGATACATGCAACAAATCTTCTCGAAAACTTTAAAGGTTTAAACTGTGACTAGGACTGAACTTATCAGAGCCCAAGGTCACAGCCCATAGCTACACAAAGACCCTGCTTGACAATGTACAGGCTGTACAGAAGGCAGCAGCTATCAAAATAAAGATAGACAGGTTCTTGATTGTCAAGGGGATCGAGGGTTATGGGGAGAAAGCGGGAGAATGGGGTTGAGAAACTTATCAAACATGATTGAATGGCAGAGCAGGCTCAATGGGCCGAATGGTCTAATTTCTGCTCCTATGTCTTATGGTCTAATGGCCTAAAATAGTGAACAGAAACAAGTAGTGTAAAGGCTCATTTTGATGGGAAAGTGACCCAGTAGAATATGAAGTAGGGCAGTGGGTCATGTTGCAGGCCTTTCAGCCAGGAACGTTCTTGTTTCCTCGGGTTTTCAGGTCCCTGTTATGGATAAGGCAAGCCCATCAGTGTATAAAATCTTACTGGACTCCAGGAAGCCCAGATGTTATCACATGAACCAATTAAAGGTATGTGGAGCCTAGAGCAATAGCAACCAGGTCAACCTGTTTTTAGAAGGTTTCGGAAGGAGCAAACTCCAATTTGAATCATCTAGTTCCTGTTGATCCAGTCCCTAGTCTTGATCATAATCCTGATCCCAGGCATGTTCCAGTCACTGATCCCGATCCTGATCCTGTGCCAGTCCCCATCTCTGATCCTGAACCTGATCCTGATCCAGTGCCAGCCTCATTCACTGATCCCAATCCTGATCCCAGGAAAACCCTAGCCACTGATCCCAATCCTGCTGCTGATCCTGGGTAAGTTCTAGTCACTGATCCTGACCCTGATCCCAGGATAGACCCAGTCACTGATCCTAATCCCAAGCCTGACGCGGGTAAGCCCTGATCACTGATCCTGATTCTCATCCAAGGCAACCCCTGATTACTGATCCCAGACCTGATCCCAATTCGGATCCTGATCCTGATCCAGCACCAGTCCCAGTCTCTATTCCTGATCCAAGGCAATGCCCAACTACTAAGCCTGATCCTTATCGTGGGCTAATGCCAGTCACTGATCCCAGGCAAGCCCCGATCACTGATCCCAATCCTGATTCCGGGCAATACCCAGTGATCTTGATCCTGATTCTGATTCCAGGTAAGCCACAGTCACTGATCCCAATCTTTATCCTGGGCAGGTCCCACTCATGAAGGCAGTGACTAGCATAGTCAGTGAGCATTGTTCCTTCTGGGGCATTGACCTCAGAACCCAACTCACAGCTGGCCCCGCCTACCTCAGCCTGGTGAGTAAGGCCTCAGCATGCAGCAGTCCTGAAGTGAAAGAGGTGGATAAATGTAGTCCGTTCAAGGAAGCACCCAGTGTGGTGTTCCAGTCCAGAGGCAGTCCTTTTGCTGAGGCATTCACTCCAGTATTACAGCTGAGCCATCATGGAAGAACAAATGCCGGTCGACTGAGTCCTCCCGCTTAGGTTTAGGAGCCTCCCTCATCACATGTTCAGGCACAGTGAGCCTAATTCAAACCCTGACCCAACCCTGTCACTGAGGTCAAAAAAAGGGTCTAGGCCCGAAACGTCAGCCTTCCTGCTCCTATGATGCTGCTTGGCCTGTTGTGTTCATCCAGCTCTACACCTTGTTATCTCTACCCTCAACTACCCTTCATTCAGATCCATTTTCTTTCAAACCAGCCCAGAGCCTACAGTCTCTGTTAGTCTTTTATCTGCTCATTCGTATCCATGGGGAGGCAGGTATCCAACTTGATCAAACAAGAGCATGGATCCCTGGTCTCACAGCCCTCCATCATACAACCCGTGAATGATTGGTCCTGATTATCAGCAAGCCACATCATGATACAGTACGATTGGTAAACATCATCACCACGCACTCTTCCAAAGTCTGCAAGCCTCTGCTGCCATTTCTCGTATTTCTTACTTCACAACACAAGCTCCATGTTTGTGGGAGTCATCGAATTTTTCAGGTTTCGGCCTCTTTTTGCCTTTTTATCATTCTCATTCTCATTCTCATTACCACAGCATTGCTCTGATACCTGTGGACATAAACGTGTTTCATTCATTAAACTTTTCTCAAAGGCGTCCATGCACCAACATGCTCCAACTCCTGGCTTTGGGTTAAATCCCCAAAAAACTCATCAAGAGAAATTGGTACCTGACAAAATTGGTCATTTTAGAATAAAAAGGGGAAATGGAAGGAATTAATTCTTAAGGAACAAAATTAAAAGTGGGGATAAGTTTTGATCAAGGATTACAGGTAAAGTGTGCGTCAGTATGTCTGCATTTGTGGGAATACAATGGAGATGGTAATCCATATCGGTATTAACTAAGATAGTGGCAGATGCTACCTTGACCTCTTTCAGAAATCAAGCAGCATGTAATGCACAGCCCTTCTTATTATCATCTACTTCATCTTTGGGAGATCAGCTGAGCCAGGAAAGCACTACCCTGGACAGGTATGATAATGGTATTCTGTGGGTCCATTTAGACCACACTGTGATTAAAATTCATCCGGTGAAAGTAAGAATTACTACAGAGACAAAGAATGGAGACAATGCTCTGCCAATAGTCTCCACATATACATTAAAGTCTCTTTAGTACATGCCTGTAAATATTTAGTTGGTATTTGAATTCACAAAAGATGGTACAAGACCATTTGTATTTTTGATTTTACCGTGTTTGAGATTTGTATTGACATTTAGGAAAAGGTTTAAGATTAGGACATGAGATAACAAGGTGTAGTGCTGGATGAACACAGCAGGCCAAGCAGCATCAGAGGAGCAGGAAAGCTGATGTTTCGGGTCTGGACCCTTCTTCAGAAAAAGGGT